TTTAGCATTTGCAAGCTGTAATGGGCGCAGCTCTATTCTGGAAAAGGGGGCGGGGAGCAGCAGCTCATTTGCATTTAAAGAGAAAGGCACGAAAAACAAAGTTTTTCAAAATGATATAATAAATGATCTGTGGAGTATTTTGAGCTGAAACTTCATTCTGGGGACACATATTGTAAATTATATTACATATTGTAAAAAGGGGCATAATATGTCTCCTTTAAGGAGACATATTATGCCCCTTTTTACAGTACGTAATATAACTTTTTACGATACGCCCCCTTTTCCAGAATAGAGCTGTGCCTGCTAAAAACATCTGTTTTGGTTCTGATTATCATGTTTATCGCGCTGTACACCGAACTAGTACACCGTTGTCGCTTGCGAAAACACAATAACGGCGCCGTGGGTGTAAACTTAAAGATTAAGGGGAGGCCGGTAATATTATAATGAGATCCCTTTGCCACGTCACCAAGGGAGCGAAATCAGACGCGCTCATTTTTTCAGACGCTTGCAGAAAAAGGCTTACCAAAACAAAGTTACTGGGTTAATCTTTTTCACGTTTCCTTGGTTGGTAGATGCACCGGGGACCTGATTATAGCACTTAAAACCTGGAAAAGTCAGATTTTCATGATATGTCACCTTTAAACCATCATCGAGTGCTTGTAATAACTTCCGATTGTGATCTATAGTTGATTTTGATTAATAAGCAGACACATGCACTCTTTATATGTTTAATAACGCTACACTGCTAATATTTGTCATAAACATCCTTTGCTATAAAAATACCATGAGCTGCATACAAAACACTTACAGAAAATTTATAGTCATAATCATGTCTATTTGCTTTCATATTTCATGTGTAGAAAAAGAGTGAACGTGCTCTGACTCATAACACTTGCGCACGTGGAAGAAAATAGGTGGTGCTCTACAGATCACATAATTCAGTGGACAATTAATATAAATGTTATTCTGTATAAAGAACATGTGAGAATAAATCTGTTCTCAAATACCAACGATAACTCTGGTTTTCGAAACCGCGCCACCACTCTTGCGTTTTGTGCAACAGCAGCTGCTCCGGTCATGTGATCCTAGCTCAAATCTGATTGGACGGCCCGTGATTTCGCTTTCCGAAACAGAAAAGATTCGTTGGACTGGTTCGAAAAAAAACATTCGCATTTTCGGTGCGCGAATGTTCGCGGTCTGTGTGGAAGTATCCATAGCATCCATCCATCTTATTGTTTTATTCCAGCGCGTCATCGCGTCCGATATTCGTTTCGCTTTTTCACGCACATTGTGGAAAGGCCTTAACACCGTAGAAACCCAAAACATTATTATGATTATTTCTTAGACATTACTCACTTTTGGTGGGAAATGTAAAAAATGTTTTGTTTGGTATGTATTTGGTAGTTTATTGGTTCTGGATCATGTGGTGTTGTTTTTTAGACTGTGGCTCTAGATGGGACATTATTCCAGAAGTCTGGAGTGATCTCCGGAGGTGCCAGTGATCTGAAGGCCAAAGCTCGGCGCTGGGATGAGAAAGCCGTTGATAAACTGAAAGACAGAAAGGAAAAGCTCACAGACGAGCTCAAAGTAAGTAATTCTGAGTCTGAAGGATGTTTAATGCAATGTGGGCAAGGTGATTTGCCGTTGACTGATTGGATTAAGTGTTTGTGTGTGAATATCAGGAGCAAATGAAGGCAAAGAGAAAGGAGGCAGAGCTGCGTCAGGTGCAGTCTCAAGCGCATGGTTTGCAGATGAGACTCAAATACTCTCAGAGTGATCTGGAGCAAACCAAGACCAGACACCTGTCCCTTAACATGCAGGTACCCACCACTTATTCAGCTTGTGTTGTTCCAAACTGCTGCTAGAAAAATGCTGTGTATTACTTTTATAAAAAGTGGAAGAAATAAGACACTGACGTTCAATAAAAATAATAATAATAATGAAAAACCAGTCTTTTGTGGTGTAATAGTTTGTTCGCCTAATTACAAACTATTTACGGTTGTGAAGCTGCATTGCCACTTAACACATTAATATTAACTGGTGTTTGGTCACAAGTGTGTATTTAACAGCATTTTCTAGCAGCTTTGAATGTGGCCCATCCAGGCGAAAACTGGAGTCAGAACTATTCTGCTTCTCTGCTTGTTTTCTATTCTCGTCAGAAGTGACTTACTACAGTAGAGATATTTGTCACATTTTCTTATTGGGGTGATTTCAGGAAAAGTCAAAGTTGGAGAGTGAACTTGCTAACTTTGCTCCACGCATTAATGACATTAAGAGAATCATCCAGTCACGAGAGAGAGAGATGAAAGACCTGAAAGACCGCATGAACTTGGTAGGACACAGCACAGTTATCTAAAAACAACTTTCCCATGGTTCATTTATCACCTGTCTTCAGTCTTGCTGGTGTTTATCTTTCATTCCAGGTGGAGGATGAGGTGTTTGTAGAGTTCTGTAAAGAGATAGGAGTTCGTAACATTCGTGAATTTGAAGAAGAGAAAGTAAAGAGACAGAATGAGATTGCAAAGAAACGGTGAGATCATCGAAAAAATCATTGCTCTTTTGAAAAGTTATTTTTTGTGCATTCCAAAAATATGTTTTGTACATTTTCCACCCAAATTCCCATCACTATAATGCAGCTGAATGTTTTATTTTATTTATATATTTTTTTTTTTATATATATATTTTTTTTTACATCTACATCAGTTAGAATTTGTGTGCAGTACTTAACAGTTGTAGTTCTCCCTCAGATGCAAATAGTTGATGTAACTGATGATTAATCCTTTCCTCAAACTCTCTGGTAGCCTGGAGTTTGAGACACAGAAGACACGTCTGGCTATCCAGCTGGACTATGAGAAGAACCAGCTGAAGGAAGACAAGGAGAAGGTGATCATGTGGGAACAGACGGTCAAGAAAGATGAGAATGAGATAGAGAGACTCAAGAAGGTAGAGAACATTCAGATACTCGCATAATGATACTCCTTTGAGCCTGGAAATTATGTTTGATCTCATTGAATCTAATTAATTTAATATTTCCCAACAGGAAGAGCAAAGGAACATGAAGATCATTGATGAAACCATGGCACAGCTGCAGGATCTGAAAAACCAGCACCTGGCCAAGAAATCTGAGGTTAATGATAAAAATCATGAAATGGAGGAGAGAGACAAGAAACTGGGGGGTGCCAACAAGTGAGCCCTTTCACTGTTTTATTCTAGACATGCATAGATGAACCATTAAGCGTGTTTTATTAGATTGTGCTGGTTTTAACTCATTGAGAATTTTTTTAATTCGATTAACTCTTTTGAAGAGATTTTTAACAGAGTTAAGCCAAATACAGTTTTGGATATAGTTCAGCCATAATATTTCCCGCCATGAAAATAGCCACAGAAGCTGGAATGGCGTTAAACACAAAGAAACAAACAAACATGCATGGATGCTTTCAAGAAAATAGGTATGATGATGTAAGGAAAAACGTTTGTGTTTGTCTAGGGAGTTGACGCAGCTGCAGAAGGAGGTGACGGCCATTGAGACCAAGCTGGAGCAAAAACGCAGTGACAGACACAATCTTCTGCAGGCTTGTAAGATGCAGGACATCAGACTTCCCCTCCGATCCGGAACTATGGATGACATCAGCCAGGAAGAGGTGTGTGCCAGGCTAATCCATGACAAAATAAACTCAAAAATTATGAACTACCAATCAGAAGTTTGGACACTTGATCAATCAATTTGGGTTTTTATAATCTTAAAATAATTTTGATCTAGAAGTGTATGCTTGAAATTAGTTGTGTAGATACTCTATATGTAATTTATCTATAATGTGAACTTTAAAATAAAAAAATGCATTTTGTTTAACTCATGTGGAGTAGATGAAGAAAAGAAAGAAAAAGAGTTTTCTTCCAAAACTCGGAAATGTTATGGCAAAACCAAAAAGTATGAGCATGTGTGCCATCTGAGCTCTTGCACTTATCACATAACGGAGAAACTAAAGGGTAAATTTGATTGAGTTTAGTTTTGGTATAGTGTAACCTATGCAACACTTTAAACTGTATAGGTTGTAATCTAGCATTAATAGAGCAAGTATGAATTCGTTTCAGTCCCTCTTCCCAAATCTCGTTTGAGATATTCAATCCAATTTCATTCTCCCATGTTACTTTGAGGTAATTTGAAGAAACTGCAAAATGAGAAACAAGCAAAGAAATAGATTGTGCTGGTTTTAACTCATTGAGAATTTTTTTAATTCGATTAACTCTTTTGAAGAGATTTTTAACAGAGTTAAGCCAAATACAGTTTTGGATATAGTTCAGCCATAATATTTCCCGCCATGAAAATAGCCACAGAAGCTGGAATGGCGTTAAACACAAAGAAACAAACAAACATGCATGGATGCTTTCAAGAAAATAGGTATGATGATGTAAGGAAAAACGTTTGTGTTTGTCTAGGGAGTTGACGCAGCTGCAGAAGGAGGTGACGGCCATTGAGACCAAGCTGGAGCAAAAACGCAGTGACAGACACAATCTTCTGCAGGCTTGTAAGATGCAGGACATCAGACTTCCCCTCCGATCCGGAACTATGGATGACATCAGCCAGGAAGAGGTGTGTGCCAGGCTAATCCATGACAAAATAAACTCAAAAATTATGAACTACCAATCAGAAGTTTGGACACTTGATCAATCAATTTGGGTTTTTATAATCTTAAAATAATTTTGATCTAGAAGTGTATGCTTGAAATTAGTTGTGTAGATACTCTCTGTGTGATTTATCTAAAAAGTGAACTTTAAACAATACCATTTGCCTTATGTGGAGTAGTCAATAAATGTCCAGAATTAATTGGAACTTCATTACTGTTTGAAAATATAACCCAGAAAAAAAATTGTTTGTTTTTTCCCCCTACATAATTCTCATTCTTGTAATGTTCTACATTGGACAGTTTTCATTACATAAAACTATTTTAAAATAAAGCTTCCTTCTACAAAGTGTGAAATAATCCTGTTAAAGAACAAGTAGGTGTATTGAAGGCACAATTTTTTTTAAATTAAAATATCCAAAAATCACTAGAACAGTGTTATATACACTACTGCTCAAAAGTTCGGGATCAAGACTTGTAATGTTTTAAAGAAGACTCTTATGCTCATCAAGGCTGCATTTATTTGATCAAAAATACAGAAAAAAACAGTAATCTTGCAAAATGTTATAACAATATAAAATAATGGTTTCTATTTTAATATACTTCAAAATATAATTTATTTCTGTGATGCAAAGCTGAATTTCCATCAGCCATTACTCCAGTCTTCAGTGTCACATGATCCTTCAGAAATCATTCTAATATGCTGATTTATTATCAGTGCTGGAAACTGTTGTGCTGCTTAATTTTTTTTTGGAACCGGTGATACTTTTTTCAGGATTCTGATGAATAAAAAGTTAAAAAGAAGAGCATTTATTTAAAATGGAAATCTTTTCTAACAATATACACTACCGTTCAAAAGTTTGGGGTCAGTAAGTTTCTATCCTTTCTTTTTTTGAAAGAAATTAAAACTTTTATTCAGCAAAAATGTGTTAAATTGATAAGAAGTGATAACAAAGATTTATTTTGTTAGAAAAGATTTATATTTTGAATAAATGCTGTTCTTTTTAACTTTTTATTCATCAAAGAATCCTGAA